TGCTGTGCCGAGAGATTTAGATTAGCTAGGAAGCGGGAAATGGTTGGATTTCTTGCTTTCTAGCTAGTCTTTAGATCTTTGGCTCAGCACAGCTGAATCTCCCTTAGGACTGAAGATTTGCTTGCAAGTAAATTGAGTGCAGACTCACAGCAAGAAAATTTGAGAGACTGAGCTAGCCGATGGCAGATAGATCACTGAATGATTCTGTGAGCAACTCAATCTGCCTGCTTTGCCTGATTTTGAGTAAAAGTTGCTCTTTTTGATAACAAATTCAATATTTACATGCATGGTGTGTTGTGAGTTAATTTTTGTGAGTTTGCTTGCTAGCAAATTTTATGAGTTTGCTTGCAAGCAAATTTTATGTGACAGACTGAGCTAGCCAATGGCAGATAGATAGATCTCTGAATGAATCTGTAATTCTGTGAGCAACTCAATCTGCTTGCTTTGCCTGATTTTGGGTAAGAGATGCTCTCTTTTTATAAAAAAATTCAATATTTATATAAATATTTATATTTACATACAAGCCATGCCCAGCCAGTCACATGACCACCAAGCCACACCCACAAATTAGACCACACCCACAGAACCAGTTAGTGGTCCCTGGGATCTAAAATTATGAGTTTGGTAGTCCCTGAGGTCCAAAAGGTTGGCGACCCCTGGTCTAGAATGCCACTGGCGGAAGACAGGAGATGAACTTGATGGAACATGGGTAAGAGCTGCTACTAAGGCCTACCTTGTGGCAATTCATGCGGCGAACTGTAAATATTTCTTCACACTAATTGCATCTGCAGATAATCGCCCAGCGACCCTCTTTAAGGTGAGCTGTCTCCTCCTAGGGAAGGAGGAGATTGAGGTCCACCTGAAGGTGTGCACTGAGGAATTTGTGGATTTTCTGGAAGACAAAATCACTCGACTTCATTCCCAGTTAGATCCCAGCCTGGTTGCTGGTCCAGTGGAAGTTCCCAAGGCAGGTTCTTGCCCTATTATCTGGGAACAGTTTGACCCTGTTGCTCCTGAGGAAGTGCACAGGATCCTAGGAAGTATGCGCGCAAGCACGTGTTTTAGACCCATGCCCTTCCTGGCTTGTGAAAGCTTTCCAGGTGACAGGCGGGTGGACTATGGTGGTGATTAATGCTTCTTTACAGGAGGGGATGGTCCCCCAGCACTTTAAGGTCTGTGCTCTTCTTAAGAAGCCATTGCTGGACTCCACCCGGTTGGATAATTTCTGACCTGTCTCCAATCTTCCCTTTTGGGGGAAGATTGTTGAGAAGGTGGTCGTGCAGCAACTCAAGATTTCTGGATGAAACGGATTATCTCGACCCCTACCAGTCAGGATTCAGGCCTGGATTTGGGACAGAAACGGCATTGGTTGCACTTTTGGATTTCTGTCGGGAGCAGGATGGGGGTAGTGCATCCATCCTTGCTCTACTTGACCTCTCAGCTGCTTTTAATACCGTTGACCATGGGATTCTCCTGGGGTGGCTTCAGGGGATAAGAGTGGGAGGCCTTGTGCTGTCCTGGTTCATTTCCTTCCTCTGTAGCCGATCTCAGTGTTGATAGGAGGGGAGAGATCCAGCCCTCACCCATTGCTTTATAGGATTCCGCAGGACTCTGTACTCCCTCTGCTCCTGTTCAACATTTATATGAAGCCGCTGGGTGACATCATCTGTCACCATGGACTAAAGTATCACCAATATGCTGATGATACTCAGCTGTATGTCTTGGCCCATGGTGAGTTAAGTGTTGCTGTGTACTCCCTCTCGCTGGAGGCTGTTAGGGGCTGGATGGGGACCAACAGGTTGAAACTAAACCCTTGCAAGACAGAGTGGCTCTGGGTTTGGGGTTCGTTGGCTCAGAGAGAATTGCCACCTTTGGTCTTGGATGGGGTGGCACTACCCCAAACAGACCCTGTGCATAATCTAGGGGTTTTCCTGGATTCACGACTCCTGTATGAAGAGGTGGTGGTCGTGGCCAGGAGGGCCTTCGCGCAACTGTGGGTTGTGCACCAGTTATGCCCTTTCCTAGACCAACACTGCCTACCCACAGTCACTCATGCCCTGGTCACTTCCCATTTTGATTGTCATGCATTCTACATGGGGCTGCCCTTGAACAGCATCCAGAAAGTCCAGTTGGTGCAAAATGCAGCGGCCCACATGGCTTTGTGCAGACCCCCATGTGCACATGTCACCTCTCCTGCAGGAGCTGTATTGGTTGCTGATTTGCTTCCGGGTGCAATTCAAGGTGCTGATTGTCACCTTTAAAGCCCTTCATGGCTTGGGACTGGGTTATCTGAGTGAACATCTTTTGCTGGTCACATCTACCCAATCAATTAGAACAAGGAGACAGGGGATGTTGCGGGTCCCATCCCTGAGGGATATACACCTGATGGGACCCAGAATGGCATTCTCCATGGTGGCTCCCTCTCTCTGGAATATCATTCCCCCAGGGATTAGAATGGCCCCCACTCTAGCACTCTTTCGAAAGGCACTGAAGACCTGGTTTTGCCAGCAGGCCCGGGGAACCCAGAGTGGGATGAAGCCCATAATGAGTTTAAATTCTGTTTAACAATTTCATCAGATCTAAAGAAGCAATTTTATCACAGTATAAAGGTTCAATAACAGCTTATTACTTTGTTGCATGTTAAATACATACAGTAAATACATAATGATGTATTAGAGCCAGTTTAGTCTAGTGGCTAAGGCATCTGGCTAGAAATCAGGAGCGTGAATTTTAGTCCTGCATAAGGTATGAAAGCTAGATGGGTGACTGAGGGCCAGTCATTTTCTCCCAGGCCACCTCACAGGATTGTTATGAGAAAACTGGAGCAGGAACAAGTAATAAGTATGCTCATCGCCTTACTTATAAAAATAATAAAGGAAAAACACATAAAATGGGAATGGTAGAAGTTTTAACAGTGTTTATCATTTTCTAGAATTGTAAAAAAATTATGTGGCATTACATCCCATCAAAAATTAAAAAAGTTGTTTATGTTTGGGTTGTTGGTAGCATACTAAATTCAGAGGAAAAAGTGATGTTTCAGAGTATAACACAGTGCCTGTTATCATGTTCATAGATGTTCGCAAGGACTTTCCTCCTATCAACCACAATATTCATTAACCTTCCTTTTAAAACACAGCTAATGATAAAACATATTCCATACCATGTAATATTCAGTTTTTTCTCTTTCTTTAATTTCTAGTGTCAATCTATTCATTTCTGCACATTCAAATATATTTTCAATCATTCAATTATTTTTCCCTCTATCAGTATTTTATCTCTTCCAATTTTGGGCAAATACATTCCTAGCTCCTGTTAAGACATGTATAACTAAGTAAATCTTTTCTTTACTATAACCTTCTGGTACCATTCCTAATAGGAATATTTCAGGTTTCAAATCTATATGTTGTTTAATCATTTTTTCCAACCGTGTGTATTTTAGTCCAGTACCTTTTAGCCTCTGTGCAAGTCCACCACATATAATACGGATAGAGAATAAAACCTAAAAAAGATTTGATGTATTTATAGAGCAATTAGAAAAATTTAAGCAAAGTTATGTGTGATATTATTATGTATATGGGAATATGTATGGGAACATTGTATTGTTAGATTTGATAAGGATATCATTTATGTTTAAGTAATTGAAATATGTACCCAAGTCGATGCATGATTGAAATGGAATTTGTTGTATATAAAAAACAATAAAAAATTATTTCAAAAAACAACCCCACCACAGCTAGTCTCTAACCTTTCTAGAAACTACAATACATGCAGCCCCACAAGTTTTTCTAAAGGCTCCTGCTTCTTAGTGCTAAAGTAATATATAAAGAAACCAAATTATTATTTACATATATACTGCAGAGAGATTATATGTCAGTCTGAAGTTAGACATTAAAAATATCATAAATCCAGACTTTTGGTAGATCTATGGTTGAACAGTAATTTTTATACCTTTTTATCTGTAAAAGTGATTTTAAAGAGTTGACTTTTGAATGTAAAAATAGTGCCTATTAATAAGAGGTGCATGCAAAATGAATACATTCAAATCCATATTTACAGTGTTCCTAAAGTACTAACAATTCATTTTGGGTCAACTACAGTGTGAGATAACTCAAACGTGGATGTTTGGATTATTCTGGGATTCATAGAAAATGCAATCCAGACAAGACAAGTTAAGGTACGGTTTTTCCAGCACAACTGCTCTTTTCTTTTCTAGCTCTCAGAGCAGCAGATTCCATTAGTTTCCCTATGTTCCCAGTAGCTTCCTAACCCTCCCATGCAATATATCCTGGAGCCCACCAACTTTCCCAGTATTTTTCTTTCTCTTCAGATATGGGCATCATTAGCATAGTATATCCCCTCAACTTGCCACTTCCACAAGTCCTGCAGAGCACTCCCTTCCTATTCTAGCTGCCAGCATCCTTTGTTTTTCACTATTCCTTCACAAATAATTTGGAATACAGAATTATCTTGTTTTTGTAAATGGACCAAAACCCCAACATGTGTACAAGAACCACCCAAACCCATACAGAATGGAATGTGAATGGAACTCTTTATATATTACTAAATATATAAAAGAAAATATAAATAAAATATGTAAATTTTAAAACATTATGTAAAAATAAAAATATATAAAATGTGTGTATTACAGTGAAAGCCCAACTGTTATACATGTGCTGCAAAAAGTAGAATTAGATTTTAGTCATGCCTATACTGCAATGTAATTTAATACTGCTATACTAGGCAGATGGGAAGAATACTAATACTAATACTGTGAAGTAGTTCATCATTTAACTTCTTATAGATTTTTATTTAGGGATGTGTTGATTAGAGAGGGAAAATGAACATACAGTGTATTTAGAGCCTAATCTGATATTTTCAAATTTTTTAAAATTAAATGTGCAAGCACAAAATGTGGTTAAGCAAGCACAATATCAGGATGACACGTGCAGTTCTGAGAGCATCTGTATATTATAAATACAAATAAAACAAAATTTTTTTTTAAAAGGGTGAATCAATTTGTTTTTTTTTAAAGGATGTTCCAGATCATGGCCAAGAATATTTATTTTTTTCCATCCCCACATTCCACTGCTGCCCTGTTCAGTAGGCTCATCCTGGGTTTCCAAATTAAAGAGGAATACTTAATCAGCCTTCTGATTTGCATACAGAAGGTTGCTATTATAATCTCTGACCCCTTCAAGGTAAAGAATCCACTGAAACATGGAAGAACCACCACCAAAGTAAACCTGGGATACCCAATGTATTCATAGATAGTTCTTTAGATGCTTAGCAGATTTCTTGTCCCTCCCCTTTTAAATACTCCATTTTTTAAAAAAATCCAAAAATCCTTCAGTATATACATGTCATTGGCTTTTCTTTACAAATTCTTCCCAATATGATTTCTGCTATGAAAATCTGCACACTAATTCTACTCAAGCAGTCCTATCTGTATAAAACTTTACTGAACATTTAATCACTTCAGTTATCTGAATAGCTTCGTGGACTCAAAATCTGAATTTTGAAACAATCTTAGCAACATTTGAAGTTAGCATAATGAAGTATTTTGTAAATTTAATCAGAAGTTATACCAATTTTTATATTTTGTAGATTGTGTAAGTGTTCTTGTACATTGTTTAATTAGTTTAACATTTCAGTGGCATGTGAATCAATACTTTTTTTTAATCTACAGGTTTAACAAAGTAGAAATTAAAATCAAAAGCCACTAATATAAATGAAATTAAAAAGTGAGAACAGTTTCACGTTCTCATCAATCAAGGTTAGGCGATTGCAGCCAGATAATCTTTAACTTCAGTTGGAGTGAGTCTTCTAAATCCTGTCTCATTACAGATGCCAACTTCTATGTTATCTTCAGTCATCTGTCCTTCAAAACTTTCCTAATAATGAAAAGATATACAATTTTGTTAAATAATATTAAAATATCAACTTTGAAAGTTTTATCAAATTTAAAATGAATATTTTTCACCTTTAATGTCAAGATAGCAGTGTGAATAGCATCTTCAAGCTCTAAGTCTTCATTGTATCTGCAAAAACAACCCAGACATTTTCTAAGAAATTTAAAATATCCCTCCAATGTTATAACTAAACTAAAATTGCACAAGTGCAAAATTACCACCATAAATTCAGGAATTATTTTTTCTAGATTACTTCTTGGTCGTGAAACCATTATTGTGCCAATAAACCCATCTGAAATTTTGAAACTATACCAGGGACTGCCATGAAAAAATAACTAACTGAATTGGAACAGCCTGCTAATCCATAAAATCTCAAAAAATGACTTTGCACTAGAATATTATAAAATATTTACTAGAAAATAATCTGATACATTTTCCTATGACTCCTCACTATACTGTGTCTCTGCTTCTGGACCAACTTCCAAAGTGCAGCCTGCTATCACTATTGTTATTTTCAAAAACAGCTTGTGGAGTCTAGACATACTTGTAAAGTAAGAGAGTGCTAAACCAGCATGGTAGAAAACTTGTTGCATATTTCTAACTTCCCATTTATAGATCTCAGTTTCTGCAAAACAGCAAGTTCAACATTTTACAACTGTTCCTTTGTGTGTATGTATGGAATTACTGGATTTAAGAGTGATTTATCCACTGAATGGATAAATTAAGCCTTACAGTTTCCCTGGGGTTGGGCGAGGATCAAAATGGTACTGAAATATCATTTTGCTGCTGAACATTACTTCTATTCCTTCTAAAAATTGACTAAAAAAACAAAAAAAAATTAACTTTGCCTACTCTTGTGATATTTTACTGTCACCAGTAATGACCACACTGATTTATTCAAGATTGTTTTAAAATATTATGTAGCTACATTATGCATTGAGAATCACTTCAAAATATTTCAGTAGAGGGAGTATTATAAATATATTAATAAAATACAACCAGAAAAATGTGGCCCCTGGCTTTAATGATGTTTTGTTTGTCTTTAAAATTAATAAAATTTGTTTCAAAAAAAAATGTGGCCCCTGGTTTTCCTTTTAGCATGATACTTTTCTTAAATAAATGTACCTAATATTTTTTTGTTTTTTTAAAAGAGTGAAAGGAATGCTTATTCCTAGAATAACCAAGATGATGACTGTTGGTAGACCAAATTCACTATCAGAATTTTGATAAATTCTGTTTTGTATGAGTTTACAGCACTAATATTTAACTATAAACCATCCAAGAATTCAGAAAAGAATCCAGAAATGGAAAATTCAAATAAGAATACAAGACTGCAATAATTTACTAGATGACAGAATTTCTATTCTGCATTACCTTTTCTCCAGAAATGTCTTTCCATTTACATAGTTTTTCCCCATTGCAGTTGCTTTCCATGCAAAGTATGCCCCCTGGAAGGTGAAAAGTTCAGCAAATTAGAAATATGCATATTATAGCTATCTTTTTAATAATAAAGTATTAAATAATGTATAATATTCATTACTACTTATAGTGAGAATAGAAAAAAATTACCTTATATTATTAGAAATTCCTTGGAAATTTCCCAACTGTACAAATTCATACATAGAAGTTATAAAAGCGGATTGCAAGGAGATGAGAAAAATATGATACTACCAGGCAAATACAGGTAGCCTTATCTTATAACAATTTGGCAACTATTCAAAGTTACAATGCACTTTAAAAAGTGACATTTTTTCACACAAATGATTGTTGCGGCATCCCCATGGTCACATGATCAAAATTTAGATGCTTGGCAACTGACTCATATTTATGATGGTTGCAGTATCCTGAGGTCATGTGATTACCTTTTGCAGCAAAGTCAATGGGAGAGCTAAATTCACTTAACCATGTTACTAACTGAACAAGTGCAATATTTCACTTAACTGTGGCAAGAAGGATTGTAAGATGGGGCAAAATTAACTTAACAACTGTCTTACTTAGCAACAGAAAATTTGGGCTCGATTGTGGTTATAAGTCTACCTGTACTTAGTTTTTAAGCTTTTGAGAAAATAGTATTTTCTGGAGCAACATGCTACTCACAGAGCAGTCATTCTGAATCCAGATTATGTATTTGGTTCTGATATAGAGATATGCACACCAAGAAGTATTGGTGCAATGGGGAAAGAAGAACAGAAAAAGCCACAGTAGCAGATAAAGACAAATACAGAAATCATGAAAATCAGAAGAGGTAGGTAGAAGAGATAAGTAGATCATTGGATATGCCACACTTGAAGTCAACTTAGATCCTATCAATGACAAAATCCTGCACTTTAAGTATACTAGCCTTGTTCTACCATCTAGAAAGACTCCTTCAGATTTTGTTTCAGCAGAATTTCCAAAATACAACAAATTTGCTTTAAGTCTGAAATAAGAAAACATCTTCTGTTTTATGCAAAATCCTACTATTCTCCAGTTGTGAAATGAATGACATAATAAGCTAAAGTAATAAACATTCTGACAGTCTAGAAAAAGGATTTTATCTCAGGATTATTCTGACTACTGGTGGTAAACCTGCCACTGCCTCCTCCCTACCACCACATGGGAGAGGAAGTTGGGTTGAAATCCCTGGGCAGGCAGTTATTTTGTGCAGAATAGGCAGATTGCGAATGGCAATCACAATGGCAATCAGATAACATGTGTCAATGGCAAACATCATATAAACAGGTTCCCAAGCACCCAGATTGTAGTTATGTGACTGTTGGGGTGTGCAGTGCTTTGCGATGATCAGAAGTGTTTACAGGCTTAAAACACATACCCCAAGCCATTATTTTTGCTTAAAACACATACCCCAAGCCATTATTTTTGAACCATCCTTTATTATCTTTAAAGCCCTGCATGGCATGGGTCCAGGTTACTTGAGGAACCATCTCAGCCCATTGGGACTGGCTCTTCCCACCTGTGCTAGCAAAAGAGGATGCTGTGGGCTCCCTTCAGTCAAGGAAATCTGGCTGGCAGGGTCCAGAAGGACCTTCTCTGCCATGGCACTGGCTCTTTGAAACATTATACCATGTGGCAAAAATTTGCTCCCACCCTCCTGGTCCTTCTACAGGAGCCTGAAGATCTGGCTCTGCCAGATGGCTTGGAACTCCAACAAGGAGGGATCACACTGGAGGCAGTTGATGAATAAAAAGGCAGTATACCCTTCCCCTCAGAACAGCCTTCTCCTTTCCTCCGTTTTTTTTCTATAATTCTATTTTTCATGTAATTTCCATTTTTATTGTTTTAGAAATATTTATTTTATGATTTTAATGCTAATGCTACAAGCCTCCCAGAGTCGCTTCAAAACAAAATAAATAAATGTAATAAATGAATCAATTTTTTAAAAATCAAGGACTATCTGTACTAAGATTCTGAAAATATGGGAGTAGGAAATGAGAATACCATAGTTACATAAAGGCCTATTTGTGGATAAATTGATCATCAAAATGTTTATATGTTTTATTTTTCATAGTTTATCCATTGGTTTATTTTTCATTATGACTGAAAGTCACCTTATATGCAGATGGGTTTATCCAATAATACATATTGGATATATGAGTACTTCTACTAGTATTAGTCACAGATAACCTATCAGTGGATAACCCAAACTCAATTTTGAGGGGGAATTTTGACATTTAAAATTCTCGACTTATTCAAAGGTATATATGGCAGCATCCTTATGTCACTATTCATATAAATACAAATTACGAAAAACAGGAGAGTTAATACAGGACAATCAAATATATTTTATAACAATTATCATTTAAATCACCGAAGTGGCTACAAATAATCTTGACAAGATAAAAAGTCTGGCTATTTTATAATCTAGGAACTCAGAACCAAAGATAAAAGTGAGCTTTTTTGGACAAAATTTAGAAGTCATGAAAGCAAAAAGTTGTTCTGCTGGTGAATATTGAAACAGGCAAATAGTACTGTAAGATATTGAACATGCTATCTCATTACACAGATCCACTAGGCCTCCTCATATGATTTTAAAGCTTATCACCCAAGCTGTCCAAATGGCTGTGAACATTTTATCCTGGAATTTTTAACCATCAATTATACATATATCTTCCTTAAAACTTATTGCAGAAAAACAGTTCATAAGTTCCTCAAGCAAATAGCTAGGCCAAGTTTTTATACAAAGCTATGAAGAAGTCCAATTTTAAATACTTACAGATGGATCAGACTGGAATAAATATGGTCGCCCCTCATTCCATCCACATATCAATAATGACACTCCAAATGGACGTACACCTCTATCAAGGAAGACAACAGAAATACTCAGGGTAGCATTTTATAAGCTGTTGAGGCATTTATTTTTTCCAGTCACATCAGTTTATAATTTAAAGCACTATGTAGTTACATGTAATTAATAATTTTAAACCTGTCACTATTTTGCTGATTCTGCTCCTATACTTTTAGCAGTAGTTTTTAGGCAGAAATTAAAGAAGTGAAAATTTTATTAGCATGAAGACTGACTGAAAACAATGCATATGCAAATGAAGACATTATTAAAGGAGTGACAGAGGGAGTCGTACTTATGTCCCCTAAAATATTGCTGAAATATATTAATATTACTTTAAGTATTTTTAAAAATTTCTTACATTAAGAAAACTCATTTATTAAGCCATTAGTTATGCTATCTCCTTAAGATATAGAATTATTTTGTTATTCATTCTTCATTTAAGAACATAATGAAGCATGGCCTAGGCAACAATCAATTGTGGTACTCTTGTTCCGACTACATATTCAAGAATGTCCTATATGAAAGCTCTTCAAAAGGAAACAAAAAAGCAGAATAGAAGAAATCATGAGCTTGTCTATGACAAAGTCTACAAAGATAAAGAGACATTTCAGCTTATATACTAGTAAATTGTAATTACTGTCCAATTTACTAAAATCTTACCAAGGCAGGGCAAGCAAGACTAGAATATTTTCTTTCAGAAAAACAATTTAAGCTTATTGTATGTATAACATTATGAAAATTTGTATTTTAATACAGCGGTATCCAACCTTTCCAGTTCTGAGAACCAGTAGTGGCAGGGGGAAAGGGATAGTTTTGTGTGCACGCACAACATTTCACAAATGGAGCTTCCAGTGCTCATCCATCACTAGTGGTCCACGAACCAAGGGGATTAAGGACCCGTTTTAATACATTTATCAAACTAAATTATATAGTCCTTGCCTTACAATCAATTACAACCTATCTGAAAAAGGGATTAATAAGCCAGATTCAAAATTCTGATGCTCCGGCCCCCACCTGCAATCACATTACTGAACTTTGGGCAATACTGCTCCAATTACAGCTGTTTGCAGTAATCTTTTATAAATTTTGCTAAACCCAGCACTCATTGCTTTGTCAGGAAACATAAAAGAAAAAATGAATTTGTTGAACAACCATAGTGTTCACACTTATGATCAAAGCAAGTCATAAAATCAGGCTAATCACATGACCGAGTTTTACCACCATTATAACTTATAACCAGTCATCACTCAAGGACTACCTGTAGAAACAGCTGAGCAATTACAATATAATGTGCCTGGTCATTTCCTATTGATTTTCACCCACTAAAATGCTCTAAATAGAAAATGGATATCCGATTTGTTTTAAACTTATTGTGTAGTCTGCAGACACCTGTCAACATTAATAATCAGGCAGCCTCTTCTTTTGTTTATGAGGATGCTCTTTTGTTAGAAGTACTGTACATTTCCTTGCATGCTAGAAAAAAATGGAAGACTTTGATATTTCTATATATGGCAAGGTTATGCTTAAGTATCTCCACAAAATTATTCCCTGATATATCAGAAAAAATGAGTAGGCACCGCCTTCATAATTTGAAGAACAAAGAAATGAGTGCATTTTATTTAGAAGCAAATAACATACCCAGACTGAGTGTATTCTTGCATCACAGAAGCGATCCTCTGCACTAGCTGAGCTGTTGGAATAGGCTCATGATAAACCAAGTAGTACTGCTGAGCCAATTTACGAGCTCTATGAACAAGTACTCTGACAAAACAAACACACACACACACACAAGCAAAAAAGATTATTAAATTACAGTGGAAATCTTTTTCATGGTTTTGGTATGAACTTAATATTGGTGGAGAAACCAAAGTTACAAGGAGAAAAATGTGTAAAATAAATAAGGCCATATCACACAGAAAACTCTGGCAGAAAGTAAAACAGACTGTGTATTTCACCATGTTTAGCCTGCCTTTGAAACTTAGCTTCATCAGTATAACCAGCTGAGTAATAGAACACAGAATCATAGTGTGGAAGGGATCTAAGATATCTTTTAGTTCAACCTCCTGTTCAAGGCAGATCTTACACCATTCCAATCAATAGTCTGCTTTTGAAAACCCTCTAGTGAGGGAGCAACCAAGCTATTCTATTAATTGTTCTCACTGTTGAAATTTGTCCTCACTTCTAGATTGGATTTCTCTTTAATAAGCTTCTACCCATTACTTGTCATCCCCTCTAGTCCTTTGAAGAATAAGTCAATCCCCCTTTTCTGTTATAGTCCTGGTATTGGAAGATAGTTATCATTTCTCACCTAATCCCTCTCTTTGATAGGCTAGACATATCTAGCTACAGACATTTTATCATGTTTGTTGTTCTTCTCTGTACACTTTCTAGGGTCTTAGCATCTTTTTGTATCATAGTGACCAAAACTATATACAGTATTCTAAATGTGGTCTCACCAGTGCAGTATAAAGCAGTATTATCTCTTCTTGTGATCATATTATCCCTCTGTTGATGGAGCATAGGACTGTGTTGGTTGTCTGGCAGCTGCAGCACACTGCTGGTTCATAATTAAGTAATCCACTAGGATAAGCAGATCTATCTCATAGTCACTATTGTTTAGCCAGGTACCAACTATTCTGTATCTTTACATTTGTTTTTTCCTGTCCAGTTGCAGGTCTCTGTCACCAATGAACTACTTCTTGTTGGATATTAGGGGGCAGTGCTCAATCTGTCAAGATCCCCTCCAAATCTTAAGTCTATCTTCCAAACTGTTAACAATTCCCACCAGCTTGGTGTCATCTGCAAATTAGATAAATTTCCCTTCTATCCTCTATTTAGATCATTTATAAAGATGTTAAGTACTGGGCCCAAGACAGGAACTGTATATGAAGTTGCATTGACCATTATATAATTGAATGTGGTTGTTCAGCCAATTACAAATCCATCTGGCGATGATACTATTTATCAAGAAATTAGCTATGGTCTACTTTGTCAAATACTTTACTGAAGTCCAAAGTATACTATGTCCACACATTTTGCTGGGCTGCTAATTAAGTCACTGTATACGAAGTTGCATTGACCATTTATCAAAGGAGGATACATTTATTTGGCATGATTGTTTTTAACAACCCAAATAATGCTGGTTTCTAATAATTACCCTGTTCATTTATAAGTACTTACAAATCCTCTATGCAAGAGCAATTCTTGTTATACTATTCTAAGAAGTGATAGGCCACAAATCTCCAAGAATGATTTAAAAAAAGACTGATTAAGTCATTAGCTTTATGGATTGGGCTAGCTGGTCAGTCTCACAATGCTGATACATTTATGTACACATATATATGACATACTTTTTTCAGAAAAAAGGCTTAGTTGTTATTAAGGGTTTGAATTTTCACATTAAGAAATATATCTGGGATTACAATCTTGGTGGTTAACAATTTATTCATTTATGCAGAGCAGAGGAATCAGGGTTAGAATCATATATAACAATATATTGAACCTGTTGAATTCTAGATAATTTTTAACCAACTTGATTTCACCTATCTCAAAATCTGCTCAAAGACCAACAGTAATGTTTCCATTTAATATTTTTTTCTTATTTACCTGTAATCAGGGCCCATGCCACTATATACCAAGCCTATGTGTTTAGTAATAGGTTCCACTTTGTGTACACTCCGTTCATCATACAGTATAGATTTCTGCTTTTTCTCTGTTGCTAGTACCACACCATTTGCAGCTACATAAAAAAAGAATGCACTAAATTAATATTACAAAATCTTTCTGCTGCTTCTCTTGCAACAGTTCAAATATTCACTACATAAATCAATAAACCAATTTACTTTTTATGTATCATACACATTTTATCAGATATTTTCTGTAACCATTCAACTGTAATTTCAATAATTATATCAAAAGAAAAAAATTGCAATCATAAGTTCTATTTCATCCTTTTTCATTTCCCAGTCAACCTAGTGTATGATCCCTTTAACAAGGCTCAGTGTAAAATGACTCATCAGATTTTCATGCATTTTGTAGTAGCTTCTTCTCTGTATTCACTATTCTTTTTTTAATGAATATCATCTTATACTTCTAGGATCATCTAGTGCCTAAACACTACGTTTTCCCTTGTTTTGAATTATACATCTGCTTATTTTATAAATAAAATATTTAATAAAAAGAAATTTAATTTATCTTATATAAGATAAAGTAACTTTCCAAATGAAATGTGGAATATAAATATTTAAATAAACTAGAGAATATCTTGAACTTAGTTATTAATGAAACTAAAAACAATGTTAATTTTAATTTCCTAAGAAATGTTTATTTAAAAAGAAAACAAATGTTCACTTAAATCATCAGGCTTTCTGACTTGTTTTAAATACATGTTTTAAAATACTGGAAATACCCTTATATCTGTGCAATAATACAGACATAATGCCCTTCTAAAATATAGGGGCTACTCTTGCATAAAAGACTAATGCACTTTATGTTAGAAACTTGAATAGTTTGCATGAATCATCAAAATTTTAATTGTACTTGATTGGAGCAAACATTTATTCTAGCAATCTGTTTTCACAGGGCTAAGTTTTTTTTTAGGCAGACAACAAAATTTTATCATTTTTTTCTTACTTCATATCTCAAGTAAGGGCAAGAGAATATTTATGCTAAAAAGTTGGTAAACATTAATTATATAAACATCTTTAATACCTTTAATTCCAACTGATGGAGCTCCAGCTGCAACAGCTGCCAAAGCATATTCAATTTGAACAAGCTTTCCAGAAGGACTGAAAAAAATGTAATTCATTCATGAGACATTTGTGGAGAAAATATTTTCCAACAAGACAATTTGTTTTAAACAAAACCATACTGAGCACATTGCATAGTACATTAGAATATGGAGAAGGTGGACCTGACATTGTAGCAAAATGATGTACTTTTACGGGGCTCAGTGTTAAGCTGACGAATTCTGCCTGCCAGCCACATTGGAGAGGTGGTGAAACAGAGGGGAAGTTCCGTTGGATCACAAGGAGCAAGAAAACTCCTTGTTGATCCAGAAAAACCCTTCAAACTGGCGGGAGAAAAAGATGGCCATTAAACTGGCCGCACTGAGGCTGTGGTAGTTCCAATGAAAGAGCAAGGTAGAAGATAAGTGGATAACAGCGTGGTTGATCTGGGTGAGATATTTTCAGCTTTCCAACTTCTGTTGAGGAATTTGCCCCAGAAATTAACTCTTATTTTGAAATGAGACTCTAAATGGGAAGCGGTGTTTTTTTAAAAATCACTCAAGAATGGCAGCGACTAAGCTTATGAGCTGCTGACAGATCCAAAGGAATGAGAAGAGAGTGTTTTAAGAATTGATTTTTTAAATGACTGAGATTCTGGGTTGATTGTTTGTAGACATTTTGTTTGATTTTTGCTTTAGAGTGCTTTTAAGATACTTTTTGAGTACCAGAAAACTTTGAAAAATGAAGTTTAGTCATTCTGAAAAAGTGAGAAAGTTTCTGGAAGTGAAGCTGTTCGATAGTGGAGAAATACAGTAAGGGCACCATCTACTGGTAGAAGTAAGAAGTCCTTGAACTGCCTTGTGAGAAATGAATTGTTTGGGTTCACCTGGAGCTAACTGATAAACCAGACTTGTTGTTGACTGTGGAATTAACACCTGCAAACTTGGAAGATACAGAAAATTTGTGATGGAAACACTTTGAATCATGTGTTGGACAGGATGAAACTTGGATTTATTCTAAAGCTAAGTGGATGATATTTTGGATGGAGAGGATGATTTATAATTATTGGGGTTTTTTGTGGGCCTTGTGGATTATTTATTTATTTATTTATTTATTTGATTTGTCAATTGTTTACAAGATAATAAGTATAAGTGTATACATAGTTATGAATACATGAAATGGGTACATATAAGAAAAATAAAATAAAAATAAAAGAAACAATAGGACAGGGACGGTAGGCACGTTGGTGCGCTTATGCACGCCCCCTACAGACCTCTTAGGAAAGGGGTGAGGTCAATAGTAGACAGTCTAAGGTTAAAGTTTTTGGGGTTTGGGGAAGAAACTACAGAGTTGGGTAGAGTATTCCAGACATTGACCACTCTGTTGCTGAAGTCGTATTTCCTGCAATCAAGTTTGGTGCTGTTAACCATGAGTTTGGATCTATTGTTTGCTCTTGTGTTGTTATGGTTGAAGGTGAAGTATTCATTGACAGGTAGGACATTGCAATGTATGATTTTATATACCATACTTAAATCAGACCGAAGACAGCGTAATTCAAGGTTTTCTAGTTCTAGAATTTCAAGTCTGGTGGCATAAGGTATTCTACAACGAGTAGAGGAGTGGAGAACTCTTCTTGTGAAATATTTCTGGACTTTAAAAACTACTTGCTAGAAGAATAAGTGATTAAGAAAAATACTTAAGAAACTGAAGTAATCCATTGGATTAATTTAGACATAGACTGTGGAATTTAAAGTTAAGGAACACTGAAGTTGGTGGTTGGTTGTTTTTTTTAAAGGGGGGGGAGGAATTCAGAAGATTTAGAGTTCAGAATTTCTGTTGAGCATTTGTTTTAAAGTTTTTGAGATATTAATATAGTTTAAAATGTCAAACTCAAATTTAACCAAACTAAGGGGGGAAAATCCCATTGGCACTATCATCTGCACCATCACCAGCAATGTTAAGTCCCTCAAGCCGAAGGTCCATAGAAAGTTTTGATTCAGCAGAAGATGAATTCACTTCAGAAAGACATGCAGGTATTGTTTCAATCATAATGAAATGAGGAATGAGATGGGAGAGATGAGGATGGAGATGGGAGTCTTAAAGGAGAAAATGGAAGTATGGATGAAAAAATGGGGCACTTTCAGCAGATGTTAATCAAAACTGAAGAAAAGATCAAAATAATTGAAGAGAAATCAGAGCAAACAGAGGAAAAGGCAGAGGAAATGAAGCAGGGACTAACGCAGGCCAGTAAGAAACTCAAAGAAACTGTAATTCAATTCCAAATGGAAAAGGCCAAACATTTTCTAAGATTCCAGAATATTGCTGAAGAAAAAAAAGATCTAGTTGAATTGATGGCAGAATTATTGGCACAGGCCCTACAGATAATGAAACAGGAGATAGGGTGGAGTTTGATTAAGTGTTTAGAATACACACAACCTATACAAGGAAGAAAAAACTCCCAAGGGAGGTGAATATGAGATTTATAAAACAAAAACAAAAAACAAATAAGAGCAGAAATTCTTTAAAAAGAGGTGAAATATTGAAGTATGAAGGGAGAGAGATTGTGGTTTTAAAACAGGTGCCCAGAACAGTGAGAGACCTATGGAAGCAATACCAATTCCTAACAGGGCAGTTGATTAAACACCAGATAAATTTCAGGTGGCTGATACCTGAAGGAATTTTGATTATGTGGAATAATAAAAGACACAGATTGGATTCTCTAGATAAAGCATATGAATTTTATGACTAACATTTCAACCCAGACAAGGAACAAGAAAGAAGAGAAGAAATAGAGGATAGAGGACAATAGGAATTAATGGTAGGGGAAACAAGTAAACAATAAGAAGAAAGTGAATGAAAAAGATGAATGTAGTCATATTTCAGTCAATTTAAGTACTGTATCAGTAATGTAGCATTGTAGCTATGAACTGTGTAATCCTTTTTATTGCCAGTCACAAAAGAACTTATTTATATTCAAAAAAGATATGTCTGTAACATTTAACTGAGTAAAATGAGTCACAGGGAAAAACCTTTTATCACAAATTCTTTTTGAATTTTACTTTTGAGCTTACTTAAGAGAATGCATCCAAAATCTGGGATACATGATCCCTGTGGAATTGAAATGTGGCTATTTTCATAAAACAATGATATAAAAAGTATTGTAAAACATTTCTGACATAATACAATACAAAATGTAATAAAACATTTTTGTGATCAGCTGATGTCTGACTGTGCTATATAGTTCAACTTGGGCTACATTCAAGGCAAATATATCTCCTAATATCTCCCTTAAGATTAAAAAAAAATCTTTTCCTGTATATTAGAAACTGTTATTATTGAAGGCATTGACAAATCTGGTAAGGATTATCTCAGAAACAATGACGCAAAGGGTCATAGATTGCATAGTTACTACAATAAAGAGTCATAGAATTGTATCGTAATTAAAAATGTTTTTTCACAGCAATTTTATAACTCTCACTGCGGATCTTAGAAAGAAAAAAAGCGAAGTTTTATCGTAGTCCAGTTATATTTTTCCTATTAAAATAGCAGCGCTACCTAATTTGATATATTACCAAGCACCAATAATCAATCTGCCAAAGTCAAATGCGGTCTTGCATTACACAGAAAAGATGACCTTAACCTAAAGACTGATCAGGTCCGTTCAAAAGTCCCATAATTAAATTCAAATTCTCCCTCTTTTGTTTGCTATATCATTACTGTATCTTCCTGCCATTTCCTTCTACAACAATGCGCAACAGACAGCAATGACAGTGACTCCACAAAATCATTTCCTGTTCTATTATTCCAGAAAGAACAAGCAATCAGGCAAATAGATTTTCTCCCTCCTGAAACAACCTATGCTGGTCGTTCAAACGGTTCGCCTCAAAGTTTCCCCCTTAAGAAAAGAACCTACCTGAAAGTGGTGAGAGAAAAACTATAGCCACGTTCCGCCATTTTAACCGATCCTCACAGCCGACTCTGGCTACTGCGGATGCGTGCGATTTACACGTGCACAGAGAAACCTTTCTGGCACGTGATTTCCGGAGTTTTTATGACAAATGAAGTTCGCCTGAT